CTCAGGCAGTTGTAGGGAGCGATGAGGGCTCCCCTCAGCCTCCTCTGCTCCAGGCTGAACCCCCCCAGCTCCCCCAGCCGCTCCCCATCAGCCTGGGGCTCCAGACCCTTCACCAGTTTTGTTGCTCTCCTCTGGACACGTTCCAGAACTCAACATCTTCCCTAGTAGTGAGGGGCCCAAAACTGAACACAGAAGGACACTGGGTGGATACACAGTTTTGAGGGGCCCAAAACTGAACACAGAAGGACACTGTTCGGTGTTGTCTCCTAAAGCAGACACTGCACAGCTAATGAGAACTGGTTTGCCCTCTATATTTCAGTGGTGAGTGAAGCCTCAACCAGCTGTCCCGGTGCGCAGCTGGGGTCCCACTTCCTACAGAAAGGAAGTTCAGAGGTTGTACCGGAGCATTCATCCTCAGGCATCCCCGCAGGGCAAGGAGAGAGCCAGCCCTGGGCAGAAGTAGGTATGTGCAATGTGCTGCGGGGTAGGATACTTGTGGCAGAAGGACTTCTGAGTCTCTGAGTTTCCCCAAGGCAAAGCTAGGAGCCAAGAAGCGTATAGCCATTTCTTGACACTTGAGGAGATAGGTTAGAGTGGAAAGGCAGAACTTCAGAGAGATGAATCAGGTATCCAGAGGAAAAAAGCTCCCAAAGGCAGGGAGGAGCCTGCACTGTAACTGCGCAGGCGGCATTGGCTTTACCAGTACTGGTCTGCCTTAGCAACCCGATTACAGCACCCAGATTCTGTTCTTTTATCGTGGGCAGATGTTTGCAGCCAGAAGGATTCAGGCAAATAGTGCACCAGTGGAGAGACTTGTGTACATGGTGTGAAACTAAAGGAATTATTCCTGGAAGATGAGGATGTATATCTGAGCGCTTATGCTGTAGATAACACAGTGGAAGGAGGTATCAAAGACGTTCTTATTAAATTGAGTATTATAAAAATAGGAAGATACACTTCAAAAAATTTGAAGTCTTATCCAGGAAAGCATGCCCTACATGTTAAATTTAAAGTCATATCAAGGAAGATCAGATGAGGACTACAACAGGGCTACCTACTAGATGGATAAACATTTCAGGAAAATTGTTAGAAGCAGGAAGCCTGCTGGAGCAGGTAGAAAGGGGGACAACACGTGATCATGGTGTAGAAGAGCTCATAAAAACCAGTTCCACAGCTGTTGACTAGGTGATGTAAGGTGTTGCAGAAAAGGTCAGAGGGGTTCCCCATTCTTTGCTTTCTTCCGCATTTTTGGCTTTCTTTGGTGCTGATGTAAGCTACTGCCCATCACTGCTTATCACACCCATCTCCTGCCAGAGGTTACCATTCCCATCAGTTTGCAAATGGAGCATTTTGTTTCCATGTCTCCTAATTAGCTCCAGGAAAACAGCCAGGTTAATTTACCTAAACTGCCAATTAGACTGTTTAACCCATCTGCTTTTGCCTGGAGCATATTAAGAAGCACTCAAACACACTGCCTTGCTGGCAGATTACTGGACATGGACCTCTGGGGGGAAGTGGTAGGGAGTAAGCCTGGACAGTGATGCCTTCAGTTGGCGTAGCTGAACGTTCAGGAGTGAGCATGTGTCTGTGTCTGACAAACAGCTTCCTACTGAGAGTCAATAGGAGGAGCTTTTAGGCAAACTGATAAATTGAAGAGTGACAAGTCACTAAGGCCACATGCTCTTTGTTCAGATGTTCTTCAGAAGCTATGAAAATTGCTGAGCCTCTAATGATGATGTGTAGTCCAGCGCTTAAATCTGCTGTGTGACCAGAATAATGAACACTGACAAATTGGATGCTGGCTTTTAAAAAGGGCGGGGGGTGGGGGGAGGGCTGGGGAGGGAGGTTGTTAGAGCCACAAAACTGCAAAAAAGGTCATTCCAAGTTGATAGAAACTCTGTTATAGAATAGAGATGTTAGATACCTGGATGAGCCTGCTATATCAAAGAATCAAAGGTCTTAGAAGGATTTAGGAAGCCATTTCTCAGGCCAGCTTGCTCCATTGTAGACACATAAGAGAGTTGTAAATCTATTAAGAGTTCTTTGGAGAAGTCAACATGCATGTGGAGCAAAATTATCCAGCTTCTAGCTTTCTGAAAATCTTTCAGCCAGGACCTAAAAAAAAAGCTCTCTGGAGAAATAAAGCTGATGCAAAGGAAGACGGAGGGGCTACTCTTGGACTAGTAACTCCTTAAAATCCAAGAAATAGTTTTCACAGTTGAGAGCCGTTACTGGTGGATTCCCCTAAGTCCTTTATGGAAACCTGTTCTGTTCGGCACAGTCAGCAGTGATTTGGAAAAAAGAGGTGATGAGTGAGGTGACAGAAGAAGCAAATGGTGCAAAATTATTCAGGACAGTCAACTGTGAAAGTCACAGTAAAAGATTGCAGAAGAACTAAAACCAGGGTAATCCCAAGGTAGGTTAAATTAGTATACGCAGGGGAATGTAACTGTAAATACACATACAGAATGAGGAGTGTCAAATTAATAATTACATTGCAGAGGGGACATTTAAAGTCACCGTGGATATGTTTTTGATAAGGTTAAGTCAGTGCTCAGCAGCAGGAAGGCCAATTAAATGTTAATTATTGTAAAGGAAGGAACTGAGGACAAGACAGTATCATAGGTTTGTGTAAGTCTGTGATGCAGCCCCATCTTGAACACTTCAGGAAAAGACACTCTGTCTTAAAAACAGTAACAAAAATGGCATAGAAAAGGATGACAAGGAGACAATTACGTACAAATAGAGACTGACTCTTCAGCTTAAAAAAGAAGTGGCAGAGGGTGTGCTAGTGCTCTGTGAAACTAAAAGTGTTGAGGGAAGGTGAACAGGGACAACATTTTTCATAATACTCATATTAATAGGCAGCACAGAAATGATCAGGTAGCGAGTTTGAAAAAAGGCAAAAGACAGTACATGTTTGGCCAGTGCACGGGTAAATTGTGGAACTCATTGCTACAGGCCAGAAGTATAAATGGGTTCCAAGAAGTGATTAGGTAAAATTACACATTCAAATTAAACTTAATTGGTCCAGCTGAAGCCTCCTGCTCAGAAGATCACAGAACAGCCGATTGCTGGAAAGTTCTGCCAGGAAAAGCGTGACTTTATAATCCCTGTTCCTTACACAAGCATCTACAACTGTCAGTTGTCAGAGATAATCTATGTCAGAAATAATTTGCTCAATACATAAGTCCTCAGGTTACATTTTCACATTCTGCTGTGCATCCATTTTGTGTGAATATATTGAGAAAAATCAGGGTGAAGAGATTCAGTAATTTTTACTGAAGAGCCTGAAAAAATACGTAGTTTTGTAACGTGAGAAGTTCTGTGAATCTTTCCCTGGAAAATTTTGAAGTGAAGCTTGGTGATGCTTTGGTGATACCTTTCTCTCAGAGTATGTTTTGCTTTCTACAGGAAAAAAAGCTGCCTAAGGTTTAGGATTTTTTTTTTTTTTTTTCTGGTGTTCAGCTACCCAAAGAGTCTGAGGCTGGCTAAATCAGAATGCAGGAAGAAGCTGGGGAGAGCAGAAGGAGGGGAAGGACAGACGCCTGGCAGATGATGCAGGGGAATCTGGTAGCAAAGTCTTGCCATTAGAGAACAGACCTCCACAACTCGGAGTGGAGCAGAATGTACCTTCACTTCTCCAGTTTGCTGTTGCCAGGACCTTCTAGAGAGAATTCCATGTCCTCACCTTTTCTTCCAGTGCTTCAGTTAATTTCCAGACTTGCTTGTGCTGGTCTACGTGTACAGCGACAATCTGCTACTGCTGTCAGCTATTTCGTTACCTCAAGTGGCAAAGGTCTTTGTGATGGATCCAAACCCCCCAGCTTTGCAGATGAGCCATTCCAGTTTTAAAATAATGCAACATGATAGAATCTATTACTTTTAGTGGGTTTAAAAAGAAAACTTTAGGAAATTCATTCAAAAGTTGCTTTAAATAGCATTCTGGATATTAGTATCAGCAAATCCTCAGCTGCGTGATCGCATCCTATTTTTTTTTTCATGCAATTTGTGCCTCACACGAAGCTTTTTTGCTGAAAGTTAAAGGCACATAGTGAACAAGCAGGTGATTACAGCCAGTCTCAGTGTTACAGCAGCTGAATGCTGCCCTGGGGAGTTGTATTTTACCCCTGGCAGAACTGTAAAATTTGTTATTTCAATTCCGAGATTACAGACTTTTCAAAAGTGTGTTTTCATATTGAAGCACAATGAAACCAATTGGAAACACTAAAATTTTCCATGAGGCAGAAATCCTGGATTTTGTCCAGCTCTTGTTGTGAATTCATTCTTGTGAAGCGTTTGGATGTTTTGGGATGAGCAATCTAGACTGTCTATGAGAAGGTTATTAATTCCTCATTTGGAGCTAGCTTTGAGCAACATTTGATTAGTACAGGATGAACAGTGGGGAAATACAAAATATTTATTAGCTGCTGAGTATGTGAGCATTGGGCATCCGGTACTCTGAAAGCTGCAAGATTGCACTGAAAAAAGCATGCGTAGTCATGTTACATCATAGCCCGTGTTTGAAGAAGTAGAAATAAAGTTGCACAGAAAATCGCAGCTGTGGCATTCCCAGCTTTTGTGTGCTTTGAGCATACAACCTCAATAATTTAACGTGGCTCTGTGTGTGCAATATAGCAATGAATTTGTTCAAAGCCTAGTTCCCAGGAACTTCTGCTGAAGCTTGACCCTTCTTTGGGAAATAAGAAACAAACCTTTGGGGTGAGCTTGTATTACCTAACGATAGTCTGAAGGTTAATCTAAGATGGTCTTATTCTGCTGAAGTGGGATGGGATTCTCTGCGGCCGGGGGGTGCTTTTGTTTCTCCATTTACTGCTGAAAGAACCCAGGCATTGTTTTTGGATTGCATGCCTGGTATTGAGGCAGCAGCTCTGAAACAGGCGAGTCTTTAAAGATCATGATATCCCTGAAGAGTTTTGATTTGAGGCTTGCCCAGCCTCAAAGGTGAGTTCTGAGAGAATTCAATAATCTCATCCTTCAGGAGATGGGACTGGGTGTCACGACCGGTTGGTCTCTGTGTTTTCTTCCAAATGACCTTATGCTCTCCGGGAGTGGTAACTCTAATCTGGAGAGATTACTGGGATTTGGGTGAGGAGGAATTTCCAGTGGGAAAGGGGCATGAGGCAGTTTTGCAGGCTGACAAAATTGAGAATTAGTTTCTCTTTATTTTTCGTGGGGTTTGTCCAAATTATAGCATGTTTTCTCAGTAAACGATGAATCACTGATTTAGGAGTAGATGTCTATGCCAAATGTAAAGTTTCTTAAAAGCATGAATGTACTAATGTTGTTTAAACAAATAGTTGGGAGAATGTTTAATGCAGACAATATTTTTCCTGAGATTTGCTGTTGTATGTATGGCAAAAAAAGCAAATTACATCATGAGGGAGATACCTGAACAAGAGATGGGAGTCTTACAGTGAGAAAGATCAGATAATTTTGTGCCTGATCTGAAAATAAATGTAAAGCCCAACTAATAAATTCACAGATTATATTACTTTTGATGGAATGATGAATAGAAATTGTGTTTGCCATACCGATCTTGCTTGTTGGGTGAGTGGGGCTTGTTCAGATAAAATACATTTTAATACAGCCAGAGGGCAATTATTTATCTGGGAATAATGAGGCTGCAGCTGGAACGTAGGCCACGGCTTCACGAGCATTGTAAGACAGTGCAGGCACTGCAAGAA